GAATCTACCAAGAAAGAAAACAACCCCATTGAATATTGCTTCAAAACAAATTAAATACCTAGAAATTAATCTAACCAAGGAAGTGAAAAATCTGTATAATGAAAATTGATAAAGAGACTAAAGAGGAATAAGAAAATGGAAAGACATCCCCTGATCTTAGACAGGCAAAACCTATATTGTCAAAATGATACTCAGAAAAAATGACTTATAGACTTAAAAGAAATTTCACTATAAATACCAATAGCAGTTTTTACAGAACTAGAAAAACAATTCTAAAACTCATATGGTACCAGAACTGAATCAGAACAGGCAAGGCAATCCTAAGCAAAAAGAACAAAGAAGGCTTTATAATCCTAGATTTCAAGTTATACTTCAAAGCTATAGTAATGAAAACAGCATGTGTTGAAAACAAAAATAGAAATGTTGACCACTGGACTAGAAGTGAAGATACAAGGAACAACTCCATGTTCCTTCAGCCATAATTTTTTACAAAGAGGCCAAAAACAGCTGGAGAAAAGACAGCCTCTTTAACAAATGGTGCTAAGAAAACTGGTAATCCATATGCAGAAGAACAAATCTAGTCCCATATCTCTCATCCTGTACTAAAATCAGATCAAAGACTTAGATACAAAACCAGTCACTGAATCTACTAGAAGGCAGAAGAGGTAAAACTCTTGAAGACATAGGCATAAGAAGGACTTTTTGACACCCAACTGCACAAGAATAATACCAAGAATCAACACAAGGGATTGTATCAAATTTAAAAGTTTATGCAAAGCAAAAGAAACAACTAATAGAATGAAGAGACAACCTATAGAATGGGAATGCATTTTTGCCAGCTATTCCTCAGACAGAATTGGTACCTAGAATATTTATAAAAAATAAAGAACTCCCCCATAAAAGACCCAATCAAATATCAGCAACTGAAATGAACAGACATTTCTCAAAAGAAGAAGTACAAAAGGTAAAAGTATGAAAAAAATGTTAAATATCTCTGGCTATTAAGAAAAAAACAAATCAAAATGACATTGAAATTCTTTTATGCTATTAACAATGTCTAATATCAAGGTCTCAAAAACAACAAATGCTGACAAGGTTGTGGGGGGAAAGGAGCTCTTCTACACTACTGGTGGGAATGTAAATTAGTACAATCATTATAGAAAGAAGTATAACGATTCCACAAGAAATTAAAAATAAAATTTCCATTTACCCAGCTCTGTCTCTTTTGGGTATCTTCATAAAAGAGTTAAGGTCATCATGTCAGAGTAATAAGTGCATACCCATGTTTATAGCAGCACAATTCACAATAGCTAAATTATAGAAGCAGCCTACATGCATAACAACAGATGACTGAATAAAGAAAACATGGCACATATATACAATGGAATATTACTCAACCATAACAGGATAAATGAGTCATTAGTAGGAAAATGGATGGATCTTGAGATCATAATGTTTAGTGAAGTAAATTGGACAAAGAAAGATAGAGATTGCATGGTTTGTCTTATATGAGAAACCCAAAATATGAAGAAAGAACAAAATAAAAGAGAGATGGCAGGAGATAGATCTTGTGAAGATGAGAAGGACCTGGGGAAAGTAAGATGAGGAGATCAGAGAGGGAAGAAGGGCAGTAAAAATCATCGAGATGCAATAGATATATGTACCCATTTCCTAAAATGAATGTAATTAATATGTATGGCAAAGATACACTAACAATAAAAATAAAAAGTAAGTTATACTTGTATAATAACTAAAGCAATCACTAAAAAAAATTTACACAGAGATACACTATAGATGAAGGGATTCTAAAAAGATGCTCAAGTAACCTGCTGGAAAGAGAAAATGGAGAACACACAGAAAACTATAACAAAATGGCAGATTTAACACTCACATCTTAATAATGGCATCAAAAGTAAATGTAATGCCGGGTGTGGTGGTACACGCCCGTAATCCCAGCACTTGGGAGGCTGAGGTAGAAGGATGGCTGTGAGTTCGAGACCAGCCTGGGCTACATAGTGAGTTCCAGATCAGTCTCAACTACATAGTGAGACCCTGTCTCAAAAAACCAAAAAAAAAGAAAAAGAAAAAGAAAAAAGTAAAATGTCACCAAAGAGAAGACAGAGATGGGCAAAAATTACTTTTAAAAAGTGATTCAACTTAAGATCCTGATGAGATAACTGACATTGTGAAATGGGAAGAAAGGACTAAAGGTGAAAGGAAGGTGGGATGGGTAGGGGAAGGGTAATAAGGGAAAAGAAAAAAATGTGAGAAAATGAAAAGATGAAAATAAAGTGTCTGTCATGCAGAGGTACAAGATTACAACAATGAATTTAACTGTATTGTATCCCTAAAATGTACCAATAAACTCAATTAAAAGTGATTCAACTATACTGTCTGCAAGAAACTACACACAACTGAAAAAAAAAAATCTGAAAAGGTTAAATATTTTAAGATTCTACTTATACATTCTTGAAATGACAAAATTATAGATATGGGGAAAGATGAGAGGATGCCAAGAGTTAAGGATGATGGTGCTAAGAGGAGCATGACTATAAAAGGGTAGTAAGGTGGGAGATCTTTACTGTGACAGAATAATTCTATATATTGATAATAGTGATTATACAAATCTACATATATAATAAGGTGATATATAACTATGTACAAACAATGTACCAATGTTAATTTCTTGGTTTTGATTTTGTGCTGCAGTCATGTAACTACTGAGGGAAGATGACTGAAGGGTTCACAAGAACCCTCGAACTTAACAACTTCCTGTAATCTAAAATTATCTCAAAAATTAAAAAGTTTAAAAACAAACTGCCAGAGGTCAAATCCAGGCTACAAAACTTCTAATTAAACAATCTGCGAATCAGTTTTGTCATCTATAAAATGACAATAACAGTATCTATTAAGTTATGATCAAAAAAATACATAAAAGATGAAAATGAACTATTGATATATGCAACAATGTGGACGAGTCTCAAAAGCATTACAATAAGAAAAAGAAACCAGACACAAAAGACTATATATTATATGATTCTATTTCAATGACATTTTGGAAAAGGGAAAAACTGTAGGGTCAAGAAATCACACTGGTTTCCTAGAGCTGGATGTGGGAAGAGTCAACTGAACCATACCTGTGAGTAATGAATTTTAGTATAATTTCAAATTTGAAATCATGTTACTATTCTGCATACATATTCAAAAATAAAACTAAACCAGTAACAATGAGAGAGACCTAAAATGGAATGTAAACAAACCAAACCAATGTAACTGACAATTTCAAATTACTATGATAGCCAAGAGAAGCAGGGGAGGGAATAATGGAAGAAGGCCTAATCAAAATACATTTATTATAAACTCAGTCTAGGTGGGGGGTTAAGAGGAGCTGCAAACAAATCTTGAATTGTTGTAGGCAAAACCAAATTGAAAAACATTCAAAATAAAACAGTATCCAGAAATGCATGTAGGTAGCTTTTATTTCTGTACATTTAAAAATCCCATTAAGGGAATATCTACAAAGTAAAAATGACAGGAATTAGAAATTATTTTCTCATGAACATGTTGATACACATTTTGTCAAACTAATTGACTCACCAATTTCTTACACTGGTTATATTCGATGTTTAATTCAAAGAGAGGGAAGTATTGATTTTATTTATAGGCTTTTAAAAGTTCCACCCTTTACAAATTATCAAGGGACAACCAAAATTATATTTTTGTCACGGACAAAAACTTCAACTCCAAGCCATAATGTTGAATGGAATTGGAATATTTTCTTTAGAATTTCATGAATAGGCAAATAAAAGCTTATCAGAATGCTTGTATTTTCTTTTCTCTCTCTGGAACATCAACACCAATATATTGCTGGCAGCTACTATATTAAAAATAAAGTATATTTTTACTATCAAAAATAAAACAGTAACTCACCCATATTATTTTAAAATGCCAATACTATGAAAGATAAAGGCTAAAAATGATTTCAAGTTAATGCAGATTAAATTTCCTGAATTTGGTAACTAAACTGGATTTAAAAAGAATACCCTTATTCTTATGTAATAGACATCGATTCATTAAGGAAAAAGCAGCATAATGTATGTAACTTCTTTCAAAGTTTTCACAAAAATTAACTAAATAATATTATATGTAGTATTAGATATGTATGTGCTAATATACAGAGAAACTGCCTCAAAAGAGCTGGGTTTTTACAATTAGGAGAATGAATCTGGAGCAGCAACAGGAGAACAATATTCATTTTAATTTTTCTTGAGGTTATGTGGGTATGATAGAAGAACATAATCTCAATTGAGAAGGCTAAAGAAGTACCTCAAAATCTCAGAAGATACTCAGTTATCAACTGAGGCAAAGACAATAGAAAGTATCCAAGGTGAAAGTTATCTGTTCACTTGCTGATAACCCAAAGTAAGGATTTAGGGGGGAGAGAAGAAGTAGGAGACTGGGTTTAAATAGATTTTCAGAAATCAGAAGATTGTATCTTGGTGATAAAAAAACTAAAGGTGAAAAAGGTAAAAAAAAATCCCAACTATGTGGGAATCAATACAGGTAATCTCAAAGCAGACAGTCCTAGCTCTAAAATTTCTAAAGCTGTTTGGTAGTAAGAATGTTCCCAGAGAACCTTCTCTAGAAAGCCTTTCCAAGTCTCCACTGCCAGGTAGGTACCCAAATGCCAATATAATATATCATTTCGCCCACATTCGATAAAAGTTGGTTAAATGAGTTTATCACTCACTATAACTTGGCTAGATTAGATATGAGAAAAATAAACTGGATATCAACTTTTGATTTCTTTTCTTTGTAGTGGAGGAAACTGAATCCAGGGCCTCGCACATACATGCTAAGCAAGCACCCTATCACAGAGCTGCATCTCCAGCCCAGAGTTTAATTTATGGAATAAGTTTCTGAAGTATTTAAAACAAGGAGTTGGTTTAAGAACACAAAGTAGAGATATATTCCTAGTTAATTTTGGTAAATATGCTTACTGTACAACGAGTTGCTGGCACACAGTTCCATTCTCTGTTATCAGTTCATTCAGCTTTAATTCAAGGTGAACTTTACCCTAGAACAACAACAACACACAAAAAAATTACAAACAGTAGTCTATTTTGCTGAGAAAATACTAATTAGTTTCAAATGGTACCATATTTAATTATCCACTGACCATTAAGCACATGGCTTTTCTCATAATAAGTACTTATTAAATGACTAATAATCAATAATTAAATAAAAGTTCTGAAAGTTAAGAAAACAGTCAAATTCCTGTACCAAACATGGTATTCAAATTTAAGAATTTTATGCCTGGCTCAGGAAATACTTATATACCTCAATTATAGATTAAAAAGAAAGAACACACGTTAAGGAAATTCTTAATAAAATTTAATTACAAAATATAGGATACTTTTTACAGAAAAGATAAACCAGCAATAAGGACAGAGGCAGTATCATTTAAAAACAGACAAGTCATATAATCTTAGACAATAAAATTAAGTTAAAGCCTTTAAGATCCAATTTGTTAATACTTTTATCAACTAAGCAAAATTTATGTGATTTTTAGTATGTTTTAAGAGACAATGGGGAGTCAGTAAGAATCTACAGATGTCTGAGTCACAGTTACTTATCAGAAGCATATGATCTAGTAAGGGAAGACAATAAACATACAAAAAAACGTGGACAAGAATACTGATGCAAAGATAGGACATAATAAAAGAGTACTTTGTTAAAATGCAATTAATAGGTAGATTTTTTAAAAGAAAAACAAGTTCATAAGGGAACAGAAAAAATATGAGAAAATGAAAAAATGGAAATAAAGTATTTGTAAATAGGGAAGGAAGGAGGGGGTGAAGGGAGGGCAGGAACAAGGGGAAAAACTGAGAACCAAGACTTGTCATGTAAAGGTACAAGATCCCAATGATGAATGTAACTGTACTGTATACCTAAAATGAACCAATAAACTCAATGAGAAAAAAAAAATAAAGAAAAACAAATTCAAAGAAATTCAAGTTGTCAATTCTCAAGAAACAAAGGCTCTGCCTGCCTCAAAAGTGCAAGGTCCTGAGTTCAATCCCTGGTACTAAAAAAACAAGAAAGAAAGAGAAAGAGAGAGAGAGGGAAAGAAAGAAGGAAAGAAAGAAAGAAAGAAAGAAAGAAAGAAAGAAAGAAAGAGAAAAAAAGCAAGCAAGCAAGCAAGAAAGGAAGGAAGGACGGTAGGTAGGTAGGTTTAGGAACAATGTAATCTAGAGCTTGGTATCTCTTCTTTTCCGTTGATGAGCAATTTTAAACTGGTTAAAAATTTGTGCTACATTATCTCCACCCATCTGACAAGACAAATTCCCACAGTGCCAAGTGGAGACTCCAGGGGTATAATGTCTAGAGACTGATGATGTGAGTGATTTCATCAGAGGTGAAAAAAAGTTTACTATTTAGTCACTGTTCCTCTTTAGAACAACCCCACCATTCTTTCAGAAATTCTAACTGGAATCACCCTGTTTTATTAGAGCTTGTCATACAAGAATGAATTTAAGGTCCACCTGCTACAGAGTTCAGAGTTACATACATACTAAGTGAGGAACAATAAATACTGACAGAGCTTAATATAGAAGGCTACATGTAAAAGTTAAGTTTATCAGTGGTAGCAAAATTAGCAATTAGGGGCCAGGGATTTAGCTCAGCAGTTCGGTGGCCTGCCTTGCAAGCACAAGGACCCGAGTTCAATCCCTGGTACCCCCCCAAATTAGCAATTAGGTGGAGCTGGAACTAAATTAAGTAAATTTTCCACTAAAAATGTAGGCATGAATATTCTTAAAAATTATATTACATAAAAAATAGATATCATGTTACTCCTACATTTAATATTCACAAACTCTATTCTTCCAGAGTGACTTTGAAGGTTCATGACATGTGGTAATTTGTAAAACTACTCAACTATAATTTTAAGTCACGTTATCTGTCATGCCATCATGTGTATTATTACTTGGCTAGCAAGGGAACTTATCCAATGGCACAAACATTTACATCTCAAAGCAGTTTTACTTTTTTTTTTTTGGTATCAGGAATCAAACTTGGGTCTTTATGCTTGTGAGGCAAGCGGTGGAACCACTGAGCTAAATCTCTGGCCCAAATTTTACTATTTTTAAATGTATGCATTTTATAGTAGAAATTGTACACTAACAAAGCACTCCCAACTATCTCTTAGAAAATGTCTAGGATCTACTCTATTTTTAAAACAATAAAAACTATTAAAGCAGAGTAGAAAAAAGAAAAGTCTCATCACTTTATTCACAACTAATGTCATAGTGCTCTCAAGTCTCAATGGAAAAAAAAAAAAGATATATAACGAGATTCTACCAGAATCATTATTACTGAGAAAGAGCCTACCTAATATGTTTACTACTCCTATTGACTGTAAACAAAAACATTCCTTTGGTAGTATGTCAATGATAACATAAATGTGTATTAACTTGGCCAAGAAAAGTGTAGGGACAGAACAGGGACAAAAGTGTAGGGACAAAAGACATGCTTCTGCGGTGGAACACTAAAATTACAAGGCTTGTCAGTTAAAGAAATTATATAATGTCTCAACTATAAAACACTACCTCACGGCATATTTTAATATGGAAGTATGATACTTAGTAAACAAGTTACAAGATAGAGTGTATAATGTCAATTTGTAAAACAAAACACACACACACACACAAACAAGATCATCTACCAAAATAATGAAGTTACCTTTGGTAGGTAAAATTTCAGATTTCCTTTTTTACTTTAGAATCTTAAAGTTTTACTACCAAAGTGTCTATTTTCTAGTAATTTTTAGAAAAGCAAAATGAACAAAAATTTAAAATTATTTGGAGCTGCTTTTTAGTGTCTATGAACATTTTAGAAAAATTTAGTCTCCCTATTTTCACACAAAGTTTTAGTTCTCCTTATATCTGTCATCATCTTATACAAGTGCATTGTAGCAAGATAAGTCTCCCCCCTGCAAATGTAACATTTTCTAGCCTCCCTTGAAGCTAGGACAGCGGCTAAGTAAACTGTATAATGCAGTTCTGATAATAAGAAAACAGAAGATGCTGGTGCGGTATCAAAAATCTTTTTTGAAGGAAAAAAATCATCCAGGGTTTCAGATTATTTTCAATACACTGTATATTTCCCTGTTCACTACTAAACATGAAGGAAGACCAAAAACTGCAAAAACAAGGGGCGGGGGCTTGCAAAAGGTTAAAAATAAGAGTAAAAAGTACTAATATTTTTTAAAAGTAGAACAAAAAATCAGCAGCTGAGAATCATAAAATGAGTCAAATGAAAATTTAGATCTAAGTAATAAAATAAACAAGATGAAGATGTATTTAGATTGGTCACAGCGAAAAGAATACTGGGGAAATGAGAGATGGGTCGGTCAGAAAATACTGACAAAGAGCAGAGAAGAAGAGCACAACAGGCATATGAGACATGGTGAAATAGTCTATTACTCATGTGACTAGAATCTGAGTGGACAAAGCCTAGGCTAGAAAAAATGAAGATGAAGAGAAAATTGCTAGGAATTTCCCAAAACTGATAAAAGACATCAAACCACAGATCCAAATCTCCTAGAAACACACAAGTAGAATATAAAGAAAATCAAACCTAGGCACAGTATTATAATACTGCTGAAAACAGAGGATTAAAAAAAATCCTAAAAGTAACTATAGAAAAGAGAGACATTACCTGCAAAGATAATAATAAGACATTGAGACAAAACTTCAGTACGTTGATGATAAATATGCAATGCAATTTGGTCCACAAACACTTTCTTATCATTCAATCTTCTAAAGGAGGTTCATTAATAGTAATATATATAGCTTATATATACCAGATGTTGAAAGATTAAATATCTGGCAACGTTGTATACTTTCAATTTAAAGTACTATAAAGCAGGGGGCTGGGGATTTAGCTCAGTGGTTCGGTGGCCTGCCTTGCAAGCGCAAGGACCAGAGTTCGATTCCTGGTACCAAAAACAAACAAACAAACAAACAAAAATTATAAACCAAAGTCTTTTGGGGGTGGGAGTAACAGGGATTGAACTTGGGACCTTGCACTTGCAATACAGGCAGCAGAATCACTGAGCTAAATCCTTGGTCCTAACCAAATTCTTAAAAGGATTTTAATTTATGTGAATTTCATAGCATTTATTATTAGGTTGATATTATATACAACTATAATATCACATTAGCTTTCTATTAAAGTGCATTTTAGGGAACTCATATTACTCTGACATTGCCTGAAAGTTTAACATACATGTATGCTGGTTTTAATTAATTTTACAAACATTTCAGAAAGAGCCAGGTATGGTGATGTACACTGTGAACCCAACTATTTTGGGAGTCTGAGGCAGGAGGACCATAAGTTCAAGGTCAGTGTAGACAACTGAGACCCTGTCTCAAAGTGAAATGAAAAGTACTGGGAAAGTAGTTCAGTAGTAGAGTGTCTGCCCAGCAGGCTTAAGGCTCTGGGTTTGATCTGTAGTATGGAGGTGGGGGGTACAGAAATATTTAAATTTTGCATTATGCATATTTATGTATTATATAAAAATACATGTAAATTTTTGCAGTTTGGGAAACTCAGATAAATAGAGGTATTTAGGCAAAATTCAATGCATGCACTTAAAATACTTTAAAATCTAAACATTTAAAAAGTTATAAAACATATTAACAACCTTTCCATGTAAAAGAATTACTATGCTTCAATTGATAAAATAGTTTATCACTAAAAGTTATAAAACATTGTATTTCTGACACAAACTGTCAGATGAAAATAAAATAAAGGTTTTACTTAAAAATCTCTATTAAAGGTAATTCATTATGGGGAGGTATGTTTTTCTTTTTAAGTAAGGATTAATATGATCTAGATTCTCAGTCCTGTTATTTTACCTAGCTTTTTTTTGAGGGGGAGGGCAGTACTGGGCCTTCACACTAAGCTGCATTCCCAGGCCCCCCACCCTTTAAAGTACAGGGGATTGAACTCAGGTTCTTGCGCTTGCGAAGCAGTGCCGGGACCACTGAGCTAAATCCCCGGCCCCCAGCC